TGGGCACCTCCATGGTCTTGAGTTGGATGTCGGGCACCTCCACGGTCTCGAGTTGGACACTGGGCACCTCCATGGTCTTGAGTTGGATGTCGGCCACCTCCTCTGTAGCCTTCAGTTGAACATTAGGCACCTCCGTGGTCTTGAGTTGGACACTGGGCACCTCCATCATTTGGTGACAGGAGTTGGGCACCTCAGTGGCCTGCAGATGGACATTTGTCACCTCCATTGTCTTCAGTTGGATGTTGGGCACCTCTGTGATCTTGAGATGGATGTTGGGCACCTCCATCATTTGGTGATGGACACTGGACACCTCGGTGTCTTGGAGATGGACATTGGTCATCTCCGTGGCCTGGAGATGGACGCTGGGCACCTCCGTGACTTGGAGATGGACACTGGGCACCTCAGTGGTTTGGTGATGCACACTGGGCACCTCAGTGGTCTGGAGATGGACACTGGTCACCTCTGCGGCCTGGAGATGGACATTTGTCATCTCCGTGGTTTGGGGATGGATGCTGGGCACCTCAGTGGCTTGCAGCTGGACACTGGTCACCTCTGCATCCTGGAGATGGATGCTGGGCACCTCTGTGGCCTGCAGATGGACACTAGGCACCTCCATGGTTTGGTGATGGATGTTGGTCACCTCAGTGGCCTGCAGGTGGCCACTGGTAACCTTTGTGGTCTGGAGATGGACGCTGGGCACCTCTGTGGTTTGGAGATGGATGTTGGGCACCTCAGTGGTTTCGAGACGGACATCAGGCACCTCAGTGGTTTCGAGATGGACATTGGGCACCTCTGTGGTCTGCAGCTGGATGTTGGGCACCTCCATGGCCTGGAGCTGGATGTCGGGCACCTCTGTGGTCTGCAGCTGGATGTTGGGCACCTCCATGGCCTGGAGCTGGACGTCGGGCACCTCTGTGGCCTGAAGCTGGATGCTGGGCCCCTCTGTGGCCTGGAGATGGATGTCGGGCACCTCTGTGGGCTCAAGATGGATACTGGGGACCTCTGTGGTTTGGAGATGGACATTGGACACCTCTGTGGCTTGGAGATGGATGTCGGGTACCTTGGTGGTTTGGAGATGGACATTTGTCACCTCTGTGGTCTGCAGCTGGACGCTGGGCACCTCTGCGGCCTGGAGATGGACATTTGTCACCTCCCTGGGCTCGAGTTGGACTTTGGGCACCTCCATGGTCTTGAATTGGACATTGGGCACCTCCACAGTCTTGAGTTGGATGTTGGGTACTTCCACGGTGTTGAGTTGGACATTGGGCACCTCCATGGTCTTGAGTTGGATGTCGGGCACCTCCACGGTCTCGAGTTGGACACTGGGCACCTCCATGGTCTTGAGTTGGATGTCGGCCACCTCCTCTGTAGCCTTCAGTTGAACATTAGGCACCTCCGTGGTCTTGAGTTGGACACTGGGCACCTCCATCATTTGGTGACAGGAGTTGGGCACCTCAGTGGCCTGCAGATGGACATTTGTCACCTCCATTGTCTTCAGTTGGATGTTGGGCACCTCTGTGATCTTGAGATGGATGTTGGGCACCTCCATCATTTGGTGATGGACACTGGACACCTCGGTGTCTTGGAGATGGACATTGGTCATCTCCGTGGCCTGGAGATGGACGCTGGGCACCTCCGTGACTTGGAGATGGACACTGGGCACCTCAGTGGTTTGGTGATGCACACTGGGCACCTCAGTGGTCTGGAGATGGACACTGGTCACCTCTGCGGCCTGGAGATGGACATTTGTCATCTCCGTGGTTTGGGGATGGATGCTGGGCACCTCAGTGGCTTGCAGCTGGACACTGGTCACCTCTGCATCCTGGAGATGGATGCTGGGCACCTCTGTGGCCTGCAGATGGACACTAGGCACCTCCATGGTTTGGTGATGGATGTTGGTCACCTCAGTGGCCTGCAGGTGGCCACTGGTAACCTTTGTGGTCTGGAGATGGACGCTGGGCACCTCTGTGGTTTGGAGATGGATGTTGGGCACCTCAGTGGTTTCGAGACGGACATCAGGCACCTCAGTGGTTTCGAGATGGACATTGGGCACCTCTGTGGTCTGCAGCTGGATGTTGGGCACCTCCATGGCCTGGAGCTGGATGTCGGGCACCTCTGTGGTCTGCAGCTGGATGTTGGGCACCTCCATGGCCTGGAGCTGGACGTCGGGCACCTCTGTGGCCTGAAGCTGGATGCTGGGCCCCTCTGTGGCCTGGAGATGGATGTCGGGCACCTCTGTGGGCTCAAGATGGATACTGGGGACCTCTGTGGTTTGGAGATGGACATTGGACACCTCTGTGGCTTGGAGATGGATGTCGGGTACCTTGGTGGTTTGGAGATGGACATTTGTCACCTCTGTGGTCTGCAGCTGGACGTTGGGCACCTCTGTGGCCTGAAGATGGATGCTGGGCACCTCTGAGGGCTGTGGCAGGGCTTGGAGCTGGATGTTGGTGATCTCAGAGGGCTGTGGCAGGGTTTGCAGCTGTACATTTGTCACCTCGGTGGCCTGCAGCTGGATGTTGGTGACATCCAAGGGTTGTGGTAGGGCTTGGAGCTGGACATTCGTCACCTCGGTGGCCTGTAGCTGGATGTTGGTGACCTCAGAGGGTCGCGGCAGGGCTCGGAGCTGGATGTTGGTGACATCCAAGGGTTGTGGCAGGGCTTGCAGCTGGACATTTGTCACCTCTGCGGCCTGCAGTTGGATGTTGGTGACATCTGAGGGTTGTGGTAGAGCACGGAGCTGGATGTTGGCCACCTTGGAGGGCTGTGGCAGGGCTTGCAGCTGGACATTCGTCACCTCACTGGCTTGGAGCTGGATGTTGGTGACATCCAAGGGCTGCGGCAGGGCTTG